CCAGCCTGGGTGAGGGGCTGATGGCTGTTTGCAGGCTGGCCACAGCCCCCAGCCACCCAAGCTCCCAGTGGAGGCTGGCTGGAAGCAGGTATCTGGGAGTTATTTGTCTTCTATAATTGAAACTTTGTTGCCTTGAGCTGAGGCCACAGCTGGCCAGGGCAGCGGGGAAGCTTGGCTTCCTCCATCGCCAGGGCAACCAAGCCTCCTGCTTGCTCCAGCTCTGTGGCTGCTGGCCGCCATCTTGGTTGGATTAATTTGCATATAGTCGCTCTGATTGGCTTGTGGGCATGTCTTGGGTGCTTAGCGGAGATGCGGTCAATTTGCATGTTTCTCTTTTATTAGATTTTAAAAAGAAATGCCCCCTCCCCTCCCCACAAAAAAAAGGAAAAATGAAAAAAGAATGGGGCCCAAACCAAAGCCTTGGTCACTTTTAGTCCCTAAACGTCCTGGGCCTGGTGAGACTTGTTCTTCCTACTCCTACAAGTGAGCTCCCAATGGCAGTGTCCTCTCTCCTCGGTCCCCCAAACTGGAGACTTCAGCATCCCACCATTTTTGACCATATTCACACACTCCCCCAGCCCATCCCCCATCATCTCTTGTTGGACCAGTGCAGTCCCCTCTTACTAGTCTCCCAGCTCCCACCTTTGCCTTCTACAGTCTGTTCCCACCACAGTCACCAGAGGGAGCCTACACAAACCCGTGCTAAGTCACATCCCTCCTCTGCTCAGAAGTCCCCATGGCTCTCATTGCACTCTGTCCAAACACTGACATCTTCACTGTGGCCCACAAGTCATCTGCCCCGTCATCTCTCCAACTTTTTCTCCTAAAACTCCACCCATGGCTTCTCTGCAGCCACACTGATCTCCTAGCTGTTCCTCAAACCAGGTGAATTCCTTCTTGCCTCGGGGGCCTTTGCAGCTGCTGTTCTGCCTGCTGTAATGTTTCCCCTCACATCCTTCCTGGCTCACTCTCAAGCTTCTTTCCTGTCTCAGCTCAAGCGCCACTCCCTCAGAGGGTTTCTCCTGGATCTCCTCCAAGTCTGTGTCTTTTTTTCCTGCTTTATTTTGTATGGTACTGTCAACTGCTATTATGTTATATGGTTATTTTTCATAATGCAGATTCATTTATGTTATCAATAAATAACAGTAAGAGAATAATATGTTTTTATTGTTGCATCATTGTTTGTCTCTCTCTACTACAAGAGAAGAGGGGATATTTTTGCCTATGTTCCCAGGGCCGGGAAACAGGGCGTGGCTCATAGTAAATCCTCAATAAATACTTGTTGCATGGCTAATAAAGCAATAAGTGTGTTTATTGAACCATAGCTAAAATAAAAAGTAGAAAAGAAGGCTCGGGTATTCTCGGGTCCAGGCTTACCTTCCAGGGCTCTATGAAGAGTAGCATTCAGGTGGTATAGGTTGCAAGTGTCCTCCCAGGACTCTGGGGACCTGTGGTACATGGTCAAGACCTGCCAGGGCGGGGGGGGGGGGGTCAGAACCCATCCACACACATTCCCTTTCCTCCTCTGGCCAGCCCTTGCCTGCCCAGGGGTCTGCCCCTGTGGAGAATTCACAGCCACATCCGCCCTCCTCAATCCCCGAGTGCAGTGGTCAGAACACCTTATGGAGTCTAGACCAGCTCGGTGTAATAGAATCTTCTGATCTTCTGCAAGACGGCCTCAGTCTCTATCTGTCCTGTCCATATGGTGGCCACTAGCCACGTGTGGATACTGAGCATGTGAAATGCGGCTAGTGTGACTGAGGAACTGAATTTTAAATTGTATTTAATTTTAATGAATTAAAATGAACTGAAGTTCAAGGAGAAATGGGACCTGCCCAAAGTCACACAATGGCGGGGATTCCATCATGACTCCATTGGCAGAAACAGGCTTCCTTAAATTTGGTGCACCAGGGGCTGTCCTCTTGGGCTCAGGGCATGGGACCAGAAGTTGTCATGAAGCTGCTGACTCAGATACTGGGGAAGGGTGGAGTTAGCCTCTGGGGATTGGGAATCACCTTGGGCAGAGAATCTTCCCTCCATGGGGCAAGGAAGGAGATACCCCTTCAGGGACTCAGCATGGGAGGGGCAGAGGGCCCAATGACCTCCGACCTCTACCTTCTTTGATTCTTGACTCAGCAAGTGAAAAACCTCTCTGATCCTCTATTTCCCCACCCGCTGCATGGAGTCCATCCTTAGCTTGGCTCATAACAAATAATAGTGCCCTGAACAGTAGCTAAATTTTTTTTTTTGCTGATTTTGATCTTGTCTTGGGGTCTAGACCTGCCCCTATTCCCACCAACTAGGGGGACCCTGGGCTCCCACTAAGAATCTTGAGGATGAAACCCCGACCTACCGATAGGGTGCCTCTCCCGCTGCCACTGGCTGTGATCTCTAGGTCATCTTCGGAAGAAAACTGGAGGAAAGGGGGAGGAGGATTTGAGGGCAGAGGAAGCAGCAAAACATGGCTCCAATGTAGGAGGGTGGGTGGGGAGGAGAGATGGTTTTTTTTTAAAAATATATTTTATTGATTTTTCACAGAGAGGAAGGGAGAGAGATAGAGAGTTAGAAACATCGATGAGAGAGAAACATCGATCAGCTGCCTCATGCACACCCCCCACTGGGGATGTGCCCGCAACCCAGGCACATGCCCTTGACCGGAATCGAACCTGGGACCCCTCAGTCCGCAGGCCGACGCTCTATCCACTGAACCAAACCGGTTTCGGCGAGGAGAGATGGTTTTACTTTGCCTTCTTGGTAGAGCACTCGTGGTGTCTGCTTTGTCACAGAGCACCTGCAACTGCCAGCTCAGGCTGTGTCCACTCTGTCCACTTTGCAATGTCTCCAAAATTCTCTGTGTGTGAAGCCCCCAAAAGACCCTTCTACCTGGCATCTCTGCATCTATTCTTATTTCCTTCAGGAGGCAGAGCAAACTTTTACACATTCACACCCGATCCCATCTCCCCTCATTGCTGTTCTTGGAAAACTCCTGCCACATGGCCTTTGCACCTCCTGTCTCCTCTGCCTCAATAGCCGCAAGGCTCACTCCTGTATTTCCTTAAGGTCTTTGCTCAAATGTCATCTTCTTGGTGAGACCTTCCCTACCCATCCTACCTAAAATTTCAACTCCTTGATGTTTTCATTCCCCTTCCTGCTTAATTTTCCCCTATAGACCTTGTGACCACTCAACACACTATATTCTACTTATTTACATCTCTTAAATTTTTTTTTGCTAATCCTCCCCGAGGATATTTTTTCCATTGATTTTTAGAGAGAGTGGGAGGGAAGGAAGGGGAAGGGAGAGAGAGAGAGAGAGAGAGAGAGAGAGAGAGAGAGAGAGAGAGAGAAACATCGATGTGAGAGAGACACACTGATTGGTTGCTGCCTGAACACGCCCTGACTGGGCCAGGGATTGAACTTGCAACCCAGATATGTGCCTTTGACTTGGAATCGAACCCATGACCCTTTGGTATGTAGGTGGACGCTCTAACCACTGAGCAACACCACCAGGGCTATTCACATCTCTTTATTGCCTGCCTTGTTCACCAAAATATAAAATTCTATTTTTTTCTCTTGTTCACGGCCATATTCCTAGTACCTAGAACAATGACGGGCACACAGGAGTCCTCAATAAAGATGTATCAAATGATTGAAGGTAAACATCACCTCCTCCATGGAGTAAGGTCATGGAGATCACCTTACTCCCCACACCAAGTTATTCTCTCCTTTACACATTTATTTCTTTCCCTTGTTTCAGGAAAGCTTAAAATAGAATATATTTACTGTCTTTCTTTCTACAGTGTAAGTTCCATGAGAGCAGGGGCCACAGATCTTTTCTAATATATCCCCCATGCTTGGCACGCAGTAGGTGCTCAGAAAATGTTTGTAGAATAAATGAACCAATGCATTGACAGTATAACCAGGGTGTGAGAGAATACTGGGGGATGAGGTTGGCAGGAACATGGCTCTTGGCCTCATACCCAATGTCACCTCTGCGTGGACTTCTTGTCTGCCACCGAGTGCCTTACCTTTGCCGACCGCCTCTGGTAAGCGTTGTTCTGATCGATGAGCCACTCCACGTTCAGGGATCTCTTGGGGGCTCTGATCTGGACGCGGAGATCCTGGACACCCTCGAAGGGGACAGCTTGGCTGAAGCGGGTGAGGGCCTCGATGGCCACCACCGTGGTCTGGATGTTGGGATGGGGGCCTCAGATCAGCACCACAGACAGCGCCCCGGGAGACGAGTCAGCACCACGGACAGCTTCCGATGGGCCGTGCTTGGTGGCATTCTCCCCCCACCCCTTCCCGCCCAGCCCCCACCCTGGGCAGGCCCGGGTTACCTGGGTGGATTTGAAGCCGCCGCCCAGCTCCCGCTTCTCCAGCAGCCACTTGGCGATGGCATGCGTCTCATTGTGCAGACCCAGCTCCAGCTTCTGCATCAGCGCATAGGCCGTGGCCTCGATGGTGTACAGGGAGTTCCAGTCCTTGTCTTTTACCGGCCAGTAGTTTTTGTCTAGGTCAGGAGATGCATGCCCACCTTGTTACCCAGACCTGGGCCCACTTACCTAAACCTGTCCTCTCCTGTGTTATCTGGCCCAGTTGTTCTCATCTGCTACTTCGCTGAGCACTTACTTTAAGTGAAACTCGTTGAGGAGGCACACGGACATCATGCTTTCAGAATCACACTAAGGGACAGACTCTAACTCTTTAGAGACGGGGAAACTGAGTTACAAAGAAGCCTCTCCAGGTCCCTGCAGCCCCACTGAGAGGGAGTTCTCCTAACGCCACTCCTCTTGACTTGGGGGATGCAGAGGACGGAATAAGGATGAGATAGGGCAGGCCATTGGAGGCAGACCCCTTCCAATGCCCCACATTTAATGACCTTCCTATCCTTGACCTTGCCAAGCTCTTTCCCACTTGGGGGCACTTGCACCTGCCCTTGGCTTGCTTTGGAATGCCCTTGGTCTTTCACAGAGGTGGGCCTTCTCATCCTTTGTTTAACCTGAGAGGGTCCCCTTTTCACAGAGGCCACCCTAGCCGCCCCCCCCCCAATCCATGCTTCTCTCCCCTCCCACTTCATAAGTTCCATCCCAGCACTTATCTCAATTTGTAATTTCCCATTCATTTGTTTGTCTTCTGCCTGACTCCCCAGGGATGGTGGGGACTTTGAGGGCGGTGACCATAGAAGTCTTGTCCACCCTGATTTCTCAGGGCCTGAGGCCAGGTGTTGGCACACCATAGGTGTTCAGTAGATACTATATGATGAGTCATACATGGCTGGGCACAATCTCCCTCCTCCACCCCCATGGCTGGTTAACACAGTTGCAGAAGAAGTGACCCCACACACTCACTGCGGCTGGCAAAGCTGTCCAGGCGGTCGTTGGCTCGGGGGCTCTTGGTGAGGGCCAGAGCATAGGAGACTATGGCGACGGAAAAGGTTTTCTGAATGTCAGGGAGGCGTCGCTCCAGGAAGGCCCTGGCTTTCTCCATGCTGGCAACCAAATCCTAGAGAGTCAGAGAGAGGAGGCTGGAGGGAGGTGATCAGAGGAAAGGGGTCTGGGAGTGAGAAGAGAGGGATGCACTGAGAGGAACATGAGGGTGGGGGGATCCTTGGGTGCAGGGGATAGGGCACCCTGCACCTCCCGCCCGCCTCTCTGGGTCCTACCGGTATCTCAGAGCTGCACAACTCCTTCCCCTCATCCAGGGCGATCAGAACAAGGGCTGTGAGGCATACGTCTGCCTCAGAGCCTCGGTAGCCACCCTGTGGATGCAGAACACACCCATGGCCCCTTTAACATCTTGGAGACACCTTCCCCCACCTCTCCTGCCTGACCTTACAAAGCTCCCAGGTGCTCAACCCTGGGCCGAATGATGCTGAAAGCAGGAGGGAGAGAGAGAGAGAGAGCGAGAGAGAGAGAGAGAGAGAGAGAGAGAGACTTGAGTTTTGTTTATGTGGCATCTGCCTTACTATCAAGAGCTAGCAGCCACAGAGAGTGCTGTGCCAAGCTCGCTACATTACCTCATAGCATTCTTGCAGCAGCTCCATTTACTGATAAGGAAACGGAGGGTCAGTTTAGAAAGCAGGATGCTCGGCTTGTGAGTGGGAGCCTCTGTGTCATGTGTTATGAGAGTGATGAGTGAGCGAAGGGCACAGAGTACACGGCGGATTTAAAAGTGGGTGATATTGAGCCCTGGGTGGTTTTTCTCAGTGGTTAGAGCATCATGAACTGAAGGGTTGCAGGTTCGATTCCTGGTCAAGGTTTGAACCCTAGTCCTGGTCAGGGTGGGTGTGGGAGGCACCAGCTGGCGTGTCTCTTGCACATCTATCTCTCTCTCTCTCTCTCTCTCTCTCTCTCTCTCTCTCTCTTTCTCTCTCTCTCGTCTATTTGGGTGAAAGGCAGGTCAGGCCCCTGGATTTCCTTACACAGATGCCAACAAGAACAAAGACATCACCTGGGGAGAGGCCACACTGATGGAGTGATCGGAAGTACATCCCTGAAGCAAACATGATCTTCGCTGTCACTAAGGAGAGTGCAGAAGGGCAGACTTGAGAGCGTATCTCAAAAAAGCTACTAACGAGTCATGGTTGGCCACTGCCTTGTTTATCACAGATGCCTCGTGACTTCTTCATGTACCGGATTTAAACTGGTCTCAGACACCAGATCAGCTCATGCATGGCTGGCAGAGCATTTCCTTTGGGGCCAGCCAAATCTCTCTGATTTCAATGAGATTGGCTTGTGGTTGAATGAATATGATCAGCCTGGCCTGTGTGGCTCAGTAGTTGAGCGTCAACCCATGAACCAGGAGGTCATGGCTTGATTCCCACAGCCAGGGCACATGCCCCGGTTGTGGGCTCGATCCCCAGTCGGGGGCATGCAGGAGGCCGCTGATCAATGATTCTCATCATTGATGTTTTTATCTCCTTCTCCCTCACCCTTCCTCTCTGAAATCAATAAAAACATTACAAAATTTAAATGGACATTGTCAGCTCTTTGTTGTTGTTGTTAATCCTCACCTGAGGATATTTTTTCCCATTGATTTTTAGAGAGGGCAAGGGAGGGGGAGAGACAGAGAGAGAGAAACAACAACAACATCGATGTGAGAGAGACACATTAATTGGTTGCCTCCCACATGAGCCCCAATCAGGGAATGAGTCCACAGGCCGACACTCTGTCCACTGACCCAAACTGGCTAGGGCGGCTTTTTGAACTTTGATGGTAATTTCAGTTCAACAAGTGTCATCACTGTCCTCCCCTTCTGAAAACGTGACTGGACTCAGTTCATAGAGGGCCATCTCTAAACCTGCCGGAGGTTGGTTTTATATTTTCATTTACATAATGGGTTATATTAATACCAGAGGCCTGGTGGGTGATATTCATGCACGGGTAGGGTCGCTAGGCCTGGCAGGCGGTCAGGGCCGATCGGGGCCTTCCAGCTGCTGGCCAGGGCCTTCCTTTGTTCGGTGCCCAGTGCCGGTCTGAACGCTTGGCACTGTCAGCAGGTGCAAGTGGCTGCTGGCCCCAATCACCCCTGAGGGCTTCTCCCCCTCCCCCTACTCCTGAGGGAGGACCAGGCTAGCCCCAATCACTCTGTGCTGTCAGCACGTGGGAGCAGCGGCAGCAGGAGCAGGGCTGCTGGCAGACAGGGGACTGGAGGCCACAGCGGGAGGGCCCAGGTGGGGGTGCAGAGGATGGGCTGAGACCCGCCTCTGTGCCCACCTCAGCCTCTCAGCCCACAGTTCCTTTCAAGGTGCATGAATTCATGCACTGGGCCCCTAGTGAATGAATAATGTGTGTAGATGCAATGATAGAGACAGGCACAAGGCGGCATTCAGGGGAGACTTCCTGGAGGAGGTGATGTCTGAATTAAATCTAATAAGAAAACATGATTTGGCTGGGTGAAAAGAAAAGAGGGCAGCATAGGCAGAGACACGGAGGTGAATTGGAGGGACCCATGAGCCTGGGGTGTGAGGGGAGAGGCTGGCGAAGAAACACACAAGAGCTATAGTAGAGATAGTGTTGAAGGCAAATTGAGCCACAGAAGGTGTTTGAGCAGGAGAGACCCCCAGTCTGTGTGAAAGCTGTTTCTGGAGGCTCCTGTGGAGGAAACCTGGTAGGGACGGGTGTGTTGGCTGGGGCCAGGGAGGACTCAGGCCCAGTGGGAGGAGGGCCAGGATGGACGACTGCTGGAAGTGAGGGTGAGGGAGAGCTGGGGTCCCAGATGGACCCCGGCTTTCCTCACATTGTAAACAAGCTCAGGGTGGTCCAGAGCAAGGGGTGGGCCTCGGCTGCTTGTCTTTCTCATTCTACCTGAGCCCAGGGCAGGGCCTGAAAGTCTCCCAGCACCGGGCAGAGCCCTGGGCTTGTTTGACCAACTCAGACAGGCGGGTGGGGGCGTGGGCACCTGCATGGACGCCATGATTATGGGGCCCTCCTCCAAGAACTTCCCATCCTCGGCCTGCCTCTGGGTGATGATCCACTTGGCAATGTCACAGAGAGAGCGCAGGTCAATCATATGCAAGGTCATGGTGGAGTAGGCCAGGGCATAAACTCGGAACACGTAGCTCGTGAGCCTGTGGGAGGGCGAGGGGGGAAGCGATCACGGGGAAGGGCAGCCAAGGGGTTCTAGACAGGGGCATCCACACTGGGCAGGAATCCACGCCATGGACCTCACTGCTTCACACTGAGCCTCGTCGTGTGCAAGGCTGCCTGCCCAGGACCCACAGCATGGATGCTCCCGGGGTCATCAAGCCCCAGGCTGGCCCCTTGAGCTCCCCCCTCACCCCACCCCACCCCGCATTGTCCTTACCAGGTGCTTCCCGGCTTTCCCTTGTGGATGTGGTAGGTGCCGTCTGCGCTCCGGTGGGTCAGCATCCGGGTATATCCTGGGGAAACAGGTGGAGGAGGCCTTGGCAGGAGAGCCAGAGAGTTGATGTTGGGGGGGTGGCCGGGATCATCTGGAGGAGCAGGGTGTGGGTGTGACTTGGGGATGCATTCCAGGTACAACCTGGAGGAGGGACGTATACACGTATGAAGTGGGGCTGCAGAGTCCGGACGGCAATGCAGGTCGCAGCCAGGCGTGACCCCCAGAGCAGTGTGCACGTGTCCAGGAGAAACCTGGGAGACCACCCATCTGGGAGGGGTGAGGCTGGCAGCTGCTGATCAGGGGGATCATGGAAGGTGAAACCCAGGGAAGGTGGTATCCTGCGGGGTCACTACCTGGGCATTTTCTTTTCTTAAAAAATATATTTGTATTGGTTTCAGAGATGAAGGGAGAGGGAGAGAGAGAGAGAGAAAGAAACATCAATGCTGAGAGAGAATCCTTGATCAGCTGCCTTCTGCACAACCCCTACTGGGGACCGAGCCTGAAACCCTGGCATGTGCCCTGACTGGGAATTGAACCATGACCTCCTGGTTCATAGGTTGATACTCAACCACTAAGCCACACCGGCAGGGCATTTTCTTGGGGTTTCTTCTTTGGCTGCAAACTAGAGGTTTCAGTGAGTGTGTGTAGACTCAAGGAGGCCACTCTTGGGTGTAGGCTCGTGGGGATACCTCTCAGGTACATTCTGAACCCGGCTGTTTGCATTACATTTGAAGGTTACCTGAGGGTTTGCTGCCTGAGTGTAACATGGGGTGACAGTGCCTGGTATCCCCTGGGGATTGCTGATGAGAGAGCCTGAATGGAGAGTTGGGGTCTGAGAGTGACTGGGAAGAGGGGGTCGATGTCCAAATTACCTGGAGGGTTCCGGGTGGACTTAGAGGCATTCATCTCTGGTTGTTACCTGGAAGTTTGGGGGTCACCTCGGGAAATGTCAGCATTCAGGTGTAACTGGGATTGTTCTGGAATTTTCTGCTTCAGGGTTCCCTGGAGTTGACCCAGGGCCTGGCACTGACTGGGTGTAACCTGGGACAGTGTCTGAATAGCACAATCTTGGGGAGTTGCTGCTTTGGGGATGAACTAGAGGTCTGTTGTTAGATTGTAACCTGAGAAGGGGGTCCCGGTGAAGGAATAACTGGGGGTCACTGTTGGAGGTTACCTGGGACTTCAGAGTTCAAGGGCAATCTAGGGGTCACCTTGAAATGACTCTTTAGGTCACTGTTAGGGGTCACCCGGGGCTTGGTATCAGGTTGTCATCTGGGAGAGGAGTCAGAGTTTGGGTGCTATTGTCTGGGAGGGTCCCATGGGACCTCCCTCAAACCTGGGGGTACCCTAGTCACCCTCCCAAAGAGCCCCAGAAACCCTCATCAAGGTCACAGGAGGGCCTCACCGCTGACAATGTTCTTCATCACTTGGTCCCTGTGCTCCACCCCGACCTTGCCCCACTGGCCCGTGGCGTCCAGATAGCGGGTCAGGATGATGACCGGCGTCAGGCCGCTCAGCGTCTGCTCGGGGCAGCCGGTCGGGACCCTCAGCAGCTCGTGCGTTTCTCTGGAGGTCAGGCTGCCCAGGATGGTCTCGCCGAGGATGTCCCCTGCCAGGTGGGCAGGGTCGTCTTGGGAATGGCCTAAGCTTTCTGATCAGTCCACATGGGCACTCCCAGCCCCTCCTGCTGCGGTGCCCAGGCGGCCCTGCAGGAGCCAGCTCCCTCCTCCCCCGCCTCCTCCCACCTACCCTGCCCCCACCCCAGGAGCCAGCTGTGCCCTAAGCACCTTGGACGCTGACAAACACCTCTGCCTCTGTATTGGGCATCTTGTTCAAAAGGTCTCTTCTTGGCACCAGCTCCACCTGGGGCCGACCTGAGTGGACACAACCTTCTGTGACAAGCAGGCTCTGGGGCCAGGGAGGTCAGAAGGCACGGAGCCCCCCTGGCCTGAGCACTTCATTGAACCCCTCCCTCGACCCTGGCATGTCCCCAGGATCCCACATGCCCTTTGCAGACCCCACAAACCTTGGGGGTTCAGGACGAAGCTATGAGATATTTTTTCTATCTTGCCCCCTGCCTGTGGGGAGGCAAGGAGGAAGCAAGTTAAAAGCCATAGCAAAAGTAACAGTCGCAATGACAGTAAGAGGAAGCTTTGCTCAGCTGGTGAGAACGCAGACTCTGGAGTCCTAATACCTGGGTTCAAATCCCAGCTCTTCTACTTAGCTGTGTGACCTCGGGCAAATTACTTAACCTCTCTGTGCCTGTTTTCTCATGCATAAAAGGGAGATGATAGTCCCTACCTCCTAGGGTTGTTCTGAGGGTCCAATGAGTTAATATTCTTTTTGTTTTATTTTTATGGGAGAGGGAGAGAGAGAAACATCAATGAGGATCATTGATTGGCTGCCTCTCGCTTGCCCCCTACTGGGGATCAAGCCTGCAACCCAGGCATGTGCCCTGACCAGGAATCAAACCATGACCTCCTGGTTCATAGGTCGATGCTCAACCACTGGGCCACACCGACCGGGCAATGAGTTAATATTGTTTTTTTTTTGTTGTTAACAAAGAGTCTTTTATTCAAACCCGGGTCTGGCTCCCCTACCCTCCTTACTGACACAGCAGCAGGTGGCAGAAAGAGACTTAGCCCGGTGTGAAGAGGAGTTTTCTTTCTTTTTTTTAAAAAAAATATATTTTATTGATTTTTTACAGAGAGGAAGGGAGAGAGAAACATCGATAGGAGAGAAACATCAATCAGCTGCCTCTCACACACCTCCCACTGGGGATGTGCCCGCAACCAAGGCACATGCCCTTGACCGG